AGTTGCTAAAACTTCCAATCCCTAAATACCCCTCTCGCCAATTTTTCTCCTAATTTTTTTTCCTCTTTTCTTCTTCTTTCTAGCCATGAAGTGCACCTTTTTTTTTTTCTTTAAATCTTCCCCTTTCCCTTATTTTCCTTCAAATATCCTTTTTCAATCTCCTCATTTCCCTTATTTTTCTCTTCCCCTCCATCTCTCCCCCTTTCTTCCTCCATTTCCTTTTTCTTTCTCCCCGTTTCCTCCACCTCTCATATTCCGACCACTCCACTAGTAGCAGCCTCCTCCACGATAGCTCCTCCTCCTTGTTGGTGACAGGTTCTCCCTCATCTAACCCATCCTTTCATTTTTTTATTGTAATTATTTAATTGTATGTTAATTTTTGTTGTTAATTGTTATTGTTCATGGTTGTTATTGTTAATTGTGTTATTGTTGTTAATTATTTATTTTTTAATTTATACATTGAGTGTTGTCTCTTTTTTGCAATCAGTTTTGAGAATAATGGAGAAACTAATGGCTAAATTTTTATGGAGTTCAATTAGAAAGCCTCAGCCTCATTGGATTTCTTAGGATATTGTTTGCTAGCCATTAAGATAAGGGGGCTTGGGTATCCATAGCTTCAAATAGGTGATGGAGGCCCTTCAAGAAAAGCTCACTTGGTCATATATGCAAGGAAGTAGCTTCGGGCTTCGTTTGTGAAAGTTAAATATGGAGAGTTCACCCTTCCTACAAGACAGATAGATTCTCTCATTTGGCGTTCAATGATCGACAATGGTAATATAACCTTCTAGAATATAAATTGGTGTGGGTCTATTTTTCAATCCCCATCACCTATGGATAGGAATTTAATCGTCAAAGAGACTTTCCAAGACATAGAAGATTTTATGAAATACATATCTAACTACTTATAAGGATAGGTTCAAAATGCTCACTGGATGACAATATAAACAAGAGGATGTTTTTACTCTTTCAAAATCAAGCTAGTTTACTACAAAGGATTTTTAGGAATTTCGTAGAAATCATCTTCCAATAGTTTTGTGGTGTAATAAAGTGTGGTCTCCTAACATACACGTTATGGTAAGTTGCTTCATTTGGAGATGGATGGATTTATAAGGCTATACTCGTGGACGAGAATGTCAAAGCCCTAAATATCCCTATAGTCTCGATGTGTCATTATTGTCATGGTCATAACAAGAAATCTTTTGATCATTTGTTTCTTCATTCAAAGATTGTTGTGCAACTTTGGAATCATTATGGCCAAATGTTTCAAGTAAAGATAAGGTATATTTCTAGCTTAGACCTTCTAAATTCTTGGTTTTGTAATATAAAAACTCGAGCGTGTATATGTTAAGTTGCAATATGTTTTTTTGATCCTTTGGTAAATACGGAAAAATATATGCTAGACAAGATATGATGATATTCCAATGAGTACGAGTTCGGTTAAAAATCAAATTTATGTACACCTTATGGATTTATATGTGGTATATAAGTCGATAAAGGCGTGTAGTTGAAGGATCATGCATCCTATGATAGTATGAAATAAAACAAAAAATTTCTTCATTCAAAGGGGTCAAGATCATGCTCGTTGAATCAACTCGACTATATATTTATGAATTAAAATGATGAATAGAGAATTACCTCTTGTAGCGCAGATCTAAATTCTTTAGCAACGAAAGGAGCCATCCAAGCGTCCGCCTCTATTGATTATTCATGCAATCCAAGCAATCACAAAGAAACACTCAAAATTGGTAAAGTGCTAGCTCCACCTTTTTTAATTTATTTAGTGTTTCCTATAAAAATCTAATTCGAGTAATTTTATGACAATTCGAAGAGAAGAGGAAAGTGGCATGTGCTAGGGGTTTTTAAGAGAAAACTATTTTTTTCTTTTTATTTTCTTTTGTTGTGTACCCTAGCTCTCCTTTTAACAGAGAAAGGAGTCATCCAAACGTCCAGCCTCTATTGATTATCCATGCAATCCAAACAACCACAAATAAGCACTCAAAATTGATGGTATGCTAGCTCTACCTTTTTTGATGCATTTATTGTTTCCTATAAAAATCTAATCCGAGTAATTTTATGACAACCCGAAGAGAAGAGGAAAGTGGCATATGCTAAGGTTTTTAAGAGAAAAATATTTTCTTCTTTTTATTTTCTTTTGTCGTGTACCTCGGCTCTCCTTTTAATTATGTCGAATTTTCTCTTTAGAAAAAAAATTCTTTTTGTTGTTGCATCTCTCTTCCTATTTATAAGGGGAGATTTTCTTATCCTTCAAGGATAATGAGAGTGGTGGTAACTTGTCCTAATTTGGACTCTTGATTGTTGCTTTCTAATCCTCTAAGGATTAGGAGTTATTTAACATATAGGTTTTTGATCTTTATTTTTAAAACATTCATCATTATCCATTAAGATTCATGTTTATTCTTTTACCAAAATATCTTCAAGCTTTTAATTAAACCTATTGGCCCAAAACTATTTTGGACCAATTAATTAATTTAAACTATTCAAATAAATAAACTTAGATAATTTTAGGAGGCTCACATTTAGGAATTAATTTTTCAAATTACCCTTAAGCCTAAATTAGGAAACTAATTTTCATTTTAGATTATTTTCTTCCAAATTTAGAACTAACTTCCAAATTAAAAAGCTGATTTCTAAAATAGGAACCTTTTCATTTTAAGAAACTTCTATTTTAGGAAACTTTCATTTTCGAAAACCCTTTCTAAAATAGAAAACTTTCAAAATTGAAAACGTTTTTCAATATCTTTGCTTCTTTTTAATCATGTGAATGCTTATACTTATGCGTATGACTTAATAGGCTCTTAGATATATTGGTAATGTATCAAGAATAAAAGACACATATTTTATCTCTTGATATATAAGTCAAGATTAGCCTCTAGCAAAACATCGTGACTACCCAATTCTCTAAGAGGATTAATTAGTTTGTTATTATCTTTCACGAGCATGGTTATCATATAATTCAGATCCTCATGTCAACTTATCACAATGTGATCTCGAACTTGGTTATAAGTCTTGTTCGATTATGATCACATAAGTTTTTTTCAACTCTCAAATGTCTTAGCTCTTAAAGTAAACCAACTATGCTCTATTGGTGTACTCCTACTATGACCATAGATTTTTTGAGTAGACATTCATCGAAGTACAATATGATAACTACTTCAACATATAAGGAATGATATGTCCTATCTTAATCATCCACTTACCTCCATTAGATTCCTAGTGCATCTAATGAATCGTCCACGTGCAATCCTTTTCTAGGTCTATCGAAACAAGTGTCAAAGTGCATAAATCCTCTAATGAGATAACCATGATGATTTGAAGTCAAAGGACTAGTTGTATCCATCTTGTATGAAATTTCCATAGACTAATTAAACTAAATGGTTTCTTATGGCAAGTCAAGTCAAGTTATATATTCTCTAATATAAATCAATTAAGTGCTTGCTTTGGCATCATCATGCCAATATGTGTGAGATCTCGTACTCGCTATTATATAGTATGAGCATAGCACTCACAACTCTAACCAAATATTATCAATGTCCATTCTTGACAATCCTACGACTTGAAACATTTAATGATATCATTTATGCGCATTAGTGTTTATCTCATATCTTTCGATCAATCATTAATGTAAATGCATATCATATGGACTTCTATCTAATTATATTCAATCAATAAATATAATTGACAATAATTAATAAAAAAATTCTTTTATTATAAATAATATAAATAATGCTATAATACAATAACTCAAACCCATCCAAACATGATTAGATCTTGAACACCTACACTAACGAGTAATTTCCAAGGTAAAAACAAACTAATGCAATGTTGTGTACATTTGCTACTCGGTTATGACTCTAAGGGTTTTATGGTTAAAATGACATCCTTCAAAGATAGGTTTTTTCAAACTAAATACGGATGGATCTTCAAAAATGGATATTGCATAGGAGGTGGTATTATTCAAAATAGTCGGGGTGGTATGATTACTCGGTTTTTCAAATTATTATGGAATAGGAACAAATATGTATGGAGAGATAAAAGCTCTTCCGAATGGTCTTTTACTATGCCAAGATTTGCATATTACAACAAGTGTTAGTGGAAACAGATTCATTGGATGCGGTAGACGTGGTACAACAACGAATCTTTAAGCCATGAAGGTATGAATAGGAAATGTGGTAGTGATGATACATTTTATTTCTTATGTCCTTATCAACAAAATTATACAAGTCGATAGATTAACTAATTATACTTACACGCACCTAGGTAAAATTTATATAAACCACTATGTGTATCTTCTCTTAGATGTTCAAATAGCTTATAAGGAAGATAATCTTGGTATTTATATGTATCGTGTTTAGTTTTGGGATAAGGTTTTCCTAGCCCCCCTCCACCCCCCATTCTCGGGGTAAGGTCGGTATGTCCCCTCCAAGTATTTTCACTATTTCTATAAATAAAATTTGTCGTGGTACCATCCTTGTTTATTAAAAAAAAACAATTTACTTAAAGATTATATTCAAAATAATAAACAACTTTCATATAATGAATATATCTTTTATTATCATAAAAGGGATAGTTATTTACAAATCATACAATACATAAGGCTCTTAGACCTAACAAAGTCTCTTGCTCAATAAATTTTTGGTAAAAAATTAATTAAGCAATTACATTCGAACTTTTTATGTTCAAAAGATATTAAAAAAATTAAGAAATATAAATCAAACATAACACCAGTATAAAACATTTGAAGCTATTTAGGTAATTTTAAAATTGAGTAAAAATAAAACTTAAAGACAATTTAAAAAGAAAGAGTACCAAATTGAAATATTTGTCAAATATAGTGAGTAAAGCATACTTTACCTGTTTTACGTTTTTCATTTTGTATGTATGTGTGCATATGCAGACCGCCAGCACTGTACTCATCCACGATACGCAGAACCCTCTCTGTCTCTCTCTCTCGCTCTCTACACAGAAGAAGAAAAGAAACAATGGCGGGAAAGCCAATCGCCGGCGAAGGGTTACCAGCGAACCTGGCCGGAATGACAAAGAACCAGCTATATGACATCATGTCTCAAATGAAGGTATTAAATTCACCTCCTTTTCTTTTTCCAATTCCAAACAACAATCAAATTCATCCTCTTTAGCCAATTCACTACTTACATGTTTTTTGCTAACTTGTTTTGTTTCGTGGGTTTTCAATGTAGGCATTAATAGAGCAGAACAAGCAGCAAGCCAAGGATATACTAATCCAGAACCCTTCCTTGACCAAAGCCCTTTTCCAGGTTTTCTTTCCTTTCTCATAATCTTTTGTTCTCTGAACTACTGTCATTGCTTAAGCTGTAATTCCATGATCTTGGGTTCTTATTTCTTACATGTTGTTTGTTTTTTAGAGTTAATGGTTTGTGAATTTTGAACCCCCTTTTTGTGGTTATTATGATGTGGTGAAATTAGGGTTTCTATTATTATTATTTATTTATTTTGTTGGGGGTGGGGTGGGGGGGGGGGGGGATTTATTGGTAGTTGTTTTTTTTCTTTACTCAGTTTGGCTTTTGCTTTTTGCCTCCCTGGCAGTAGAAATTTCCTTAAGACAAAAAACGATTGATTGTAGCTTAAAAGAACAACGTTAGGGTTCTGTTTTACTAAATCTTAGTTACTTACTATGTTGGACCAGGCGCAAATTATGCTAGGAATGGTGCAGCCTCCTCAAGTGGTATGCTTTTAATCTTTATGAAATTTCGAATCTCTGGCTTTATATAAGTTGATCTATGTATATCTTAAATTTGGTTTGCATTTAGATTCCAAATATCCAGCCAGCAGCACCACAGCAACCTCAGCAATCAGCACAACCATCTCAGCAGCCAAACATTCAGGCTGCGCATTTGTCGCCTGGACAAGGCGGTTTGCAGGATCAAACAAGTGCCTCTCAGTCCCAACCACCACTGAGGAAACAACACCAGAGTCAACCTGCAATGCCTACATCTGCTCCTTCTGGGCCTCCAGTGAATCTTCAGTCTCCTCCATTGCCTTCACACCCCCTACAGATGCCACAGCAGCCTAAGGGACATATGAATCCTCAAGTAACCCCAATGTCTGTTACTCAGTCTTCTCAACTTCCAAACCTACCCCCGGCACCTAGTCATTCTGTTTCACAGCCACTACCAATTCATCAAACCCAGATGTCTTCTGTCTCTAGCCAGTTGCAGCAGCCATTACAGACAGCTGGAATTTCTCATCTGCCATTGCAACCACCATTGGCACCTCAACCTCGACCACCTGTTCCAAGCTTTCATCATCAGTATGGGCAACAAATGGGGCCCAATATGGGTTACCAACATACTGGTGCTCCTCATCATCCTTCACAACCCATGTTTCATGTAAGCTGAGGATTATGGTTCTAAAGTCATTGTTTATTGCACCATAACCAACTCTGAATGACTTATTTCTTTCCAATTTTTCAGTCAAGCAACAAACCTCAGACTAGCATGGGCCCTTCATTTCCACAAGTACAGCAACCTCTTCCAAATCAGCAACCACATCAATCATATCAGGTGTGCATGTGCTTTTACTTTGATAGAAACTCTTTAAACAATTGGTTTTCATCATCATATGGGCTGGTCGGGCATGCATGTGAAGCATGTTACTTGCACAAGGCTTTTTGATGGACATGTTTACGTTTTCTTGGCAACTGGGATTGCCTGGTTGCTGTTTTTTTTTTTTTTACCTCACTCTGCCTGTTGACATGTGGCTTGTGCATGTGTCTGTGCCTGGTGCATAATCTAGATTCAGTTTTGATTATATGTTCCAGGGATAATTTGTTATTATTTAACTTCTATTAAGGAAAGCTAGAGAAAGATGTGCTTTCTAGGTCCAAAGTGTAAATGCATTTGTTTGATAGGAAAATGTGATGGAAACTTCAGGTGGGAACAGAACTTCTGTGGATTGGTTTTGTGAGGAAAACTAAATCTTGCTTGGTTTTGGAAGTAAAACTAGAAATTGTGAGAGTTGCTGTGATTAATTTTGTCATCAGTAACCATGTAAGCTAGAGTCAGTTCATGCCTTGTAACCTATTAAAAAAAAAAAAAAAGTGGCCTCTCATCTCTCCCTTTCTTGTTTTTCTTTCCCTTTTTTTTTTTTTTTTTTTTGGTAGAAAAAGCAAGTGACATTAGCTTCTTTACTTAAATCAAATCCTTTTGAAATTGCGTTTCAAGTTATTTGAATAAATAACATTAGCTTCAAGGTCATTTTTGGATGTGGCAACAATAGCTTCAAGTTCTATGCATTGCATTCCTTCTCTAATCAACTCAGTGGTCTATGGCACTTGTTAATTTTTAATCTTGGTTCTTGTGTTTTGAAAGGCTGGAGGTTCACATTTAGGGGCAGAGTACAACAGTCAAGTTGCAAATTCAATGCAAGTTGATAGAGGATCTTTGTGGATGTCTGGGCCGCCAGAAGGTTCAACAATGACGCATCCAGGACCCCCACAGTTCAATCCTGGTCAGATGGCCCAGGGCAATCACCCTTCTCGCACAGCAGCTGTACCCATTCTCAACTCATGCTTTTTTTTTTTTTTTTTTCAAACCAGTGCCTTTTGTAAACTGTAGAGTTTTCATATTAACTTTCAACTTCCTTTCTGCTTTGCTTGTGGTGAAGATGTCTTCTGACATGGAGAAAGCACTACTCCAGCAGGTCATGAGCCTCACGCCAGAACAGATTGGTCTCCTGCCTCCAGAGCAAAGGAATCAAGTGCTTCAGCTGCAACAGATGCTACGACAGTAAACAAAGTTGGTAAATTCTTCTTAAAAGTGGACATATTTAAGTTAGGGTCAGGCGTCAGAAATTGCAACAGCATTTCTGGTCATCTCAGTTCATTGGGGACGATTGGTTGCGGGCAAATAATTACACAGAAGTTGATACAGGATATACTTTGGAGACAAACTTGAAGCAAAATTTTGAACTTTTTTGTTTCTCTGCTACAATACTTCTGACAGTTAGCTTTTTGTGAGTGCAGCTACGAGATTCTCAGGGTGGCGCATTCTGTATTGTTTTTTTTTTTTTTTTTTCCCTAGTCTGAGGGTGACAAATTGGCACTCCAATGTAGTTTCTTGGGTCTTGATAATCAAGTTCTGTAGTCTTTTAAAATGAACTATGATCCTTGTATGTGAGCTTAGTTCCTTACAATTAGCGTCATCTCTCTGGCTCTGATAACATTACACGTAAAATGGTCTCCGAGTTTGGTTACATAAAATGCAGTTCCATGAAAAAAATTTCATCTTCAAAACATGTTGCCGTGGGGGCATTTTAAGAAAAATATGTGCAAATAGTTCCTATAAAGTTTCATTTAAATGAAAGCTGAATGGATTAAATTTCTTTGGAATTTTGAAGTTATTTGAAGTTCTCATTTCATGAATTAAAAAAGTCAAAATTGACTTTCTACAACTTTATTGCATTTGAAATGGAATCATTTTGTAGGGTTCTACTCATTTATTAACTGTTAAAAGTCATCAATTATTCTTTTACTATTAAACATCAATTGTCTCCTCACTATTGAAATTTGGTTGAATAGTAACTCTCCATCAGCTATTAATTTCAATAGTAGAATGACATCTTGTGATTTTTAGCCATTTTAGTTAATGGATGGAATCCTATAAAATTTAGTAGAAGGATTCAATTTTAAATGGATCAAAATTGTAGGATGATTTTTTAATTCAGAGGTTAGTTCTCAAATGACTTAAAATTTAACGTTTTAGCCTTTAATGAATTGCTTAAATGTGTTTAGCATTTATCCTTTGCGGTAAACTATTAACCGGAAAGCTCTATTTTTCATCGTTTTGGATTTTAATCAACCTGGTCGGAAAAAAGAGATCCCTGGCTAGACTGCAAGGTCTTGAGGCCTCAAATTTGGAACGACAGAATTCAAGTTAATAGTACAAGATCTCTGTCTTTATTTACCAATATCATCGTTTCAAATAGGACGTACAGGTCGGTTTTTTGGGTTACAACATATTTATTTTAATTTGATAATAAAAATCCATAATAATCTAAACATAAAATTTTAAAAAATATCTTAATAATTTTTTTAATATCATTACTTCAAAGAAATAAAGCAATAATTAATATAAAAACTTGTATAAAAATAACAAATTAATCTTTTATTCATATTTAATGTTGATGATAAGATTAACTTTTTGAAAATATGTACATTTGATTTATAATATTCAATAATATTAGTATAAAAAGTTATATTTGAATTATTAGGTAGTTCTTCTATAATATATTATTTTAATTTATTTATTTGAAAGAGTTTAATTTTAAAATATTTTTTAAAAAATAATACGGTATGGTTAGTGTTATATGTGTAGATATACATATAGTTAATTTTCAATACAATCAATAATCTTAATTTTTTTTAATACATTATAACCATACTTGGTGGGTCGAGTGTACAATATAAATCAAAAAAATATTGTTTTAAAAAATTTAAGTTGTAAGAAATACATTGAAGCTAATTGAGTGCAATTAAAACAACTACAAAATTGATTTTGATAAAATTTGATTATATAAAGAATAAACAAATTAAAACAACCTATTCAAAAGTCCATACATAAAGAAAATATATCATATTTGTTAATAAATAAAATTATATATAAAAAATTAGAAACTAAAGTGCAACATTTGTCAAAATTTGCATGTCAAATACCTAAATATAGGACAAAAATTACAAAAATATCATATCAAATGCCTAAATAAAGCTTAAAAATCATAATAATGTCATTTAATACAATAATATTAAATGAATAGTGCTTATGAGTTTAGATGAGTAGTAAGTCAATAATAAAATAAGTGTGGATGAATAGTAAGTGAATAGTAATCACTCCAAATCTTTTAGATTTTTTTTTATAATATTCACCTAAAAATAGTTTTCATACTAAGGATGACAATGACTGAATATAAAACAAGTATTTATTTTATTCGATCCAATAAATACCCATTAAGAATGTTTAATGGATACTAAAATGGATAAAGTAAAAAAATACATACATATTAATATAGTTTCAAGATATGAGTATCCACTCTTTATCCTATTAATATCCGTTAATTTATTTTTGATATTTTTATAGACATGCAAAGATCTAAGTGCATAAAATTTTAAAATTAAGAACCAAATATTTTTTTAAAAAATGTAAGGACCAAAAAAACTTATAAATAAGTGAACAAAATTTTAAAAAATTAAATCCTAAGGATCAAAATTTTTTTTTTTTTTGAAAATTATGGAGACTAAAATGAATATTTTTGACAAATTAATTTTAGGTATTGAATAGATAATAAATGAATGGGTAAATTAATATGGAGGGATCTAATTATATAAAATTTAAAAATGAAGAACCAAATATTTTTTTCAAAAAATTTAAAGACCAAAAAAACTTATAAATAAATGACCAAAATTTTAAAAAATTAAATATTAAAGATCAAAAAACTTTTTTAAAAAATTATAACGACTAAAATGAATATTTTTGATAAATTAATTTTGGATGTTGAATAGATAATAAACGAATCAATAAATTAATATGGACTGACATGTGAACTGCGTAAAGATTTATATAATAATTTTTTTTATGAATAATGAATATAATAATTTTTTTTTATGAATAGGATAAGAAATTAAATTAATGAGTTCAATATTCACTCATTATCATCCCTATTCCGTACTGTCTGCTTAAGGAAAGCATGGCCTTTCTTGACTAGACATACCATCAGGAAAACGCCAACGCCTTGTCTTCTAGTATTTAAAGTGCACTCAGCTAATGTTCGATCAACGGTCACTGGTCATGGTCGATTTTCTATTCAATATGCGGATATCCAGTTATAATTTGCATAATGGAGTAAGAACTTTCGAGGAACGTTATGAACAAATTGCGATACATTAAAAATTCCCAGAAAAGGTGTTTTTAGCAACAACGCATTAGCAATTCACAAAGACATTGTCAAATTGTCAAAAACAAGACTGAAGAGAATGCTTTAGGATATAAGAAGACTCCAGATGTAACAAATCTAATTTTGTTCTTACAGAGCGCAGCCGTCCGACTGAGATTTCTGAGTCTCATAGCAGCGGATAATGCTAGGGTGTTATAGGTCTACCTGGAAAGTACAGATCATTAAACCATCAAAACCAAGCATCAGAATTTAGATAGATCTCTAGCAGGTTGTGTGTTCAAACTCATTCAAACTAACTTCATTTTCATCCATTCCAAGAAAGCCACTACTACTTTATCAAATGATATAGAATGAGGTAACAGATGAATTCTCAAGGCAGATTGCTCAACAAGAACCACAAGAGACAGATGAAATGGTAATTATTTTACTCTCCATTTCCATGGAAACACGAATGATTTACAATATACAGAATGCTTTTAGAAACATAATCAATTAGAGGATACATCAATCTGAAAGAGTGCATTATTACTCATCGTTATTACTAATCACTTCTCTTGGGAAAAATTGAATAATTATGCTGACTGATACAGGGTTATCACCAGGGTTCAGTTTGAACAGAAAAGGAATCAACACTGTTGTTGGTGACGAAAGCAGATTGCAGTTCAACATGAACCTCAAGTTTGCAGAATAAACCAATAAGCTGCCAATGAAGAAAGGCTTCTGATGAATTGCAACAAAATGTAGGCAAACCTAAACAAACCATTCACTTGATCGACTCAATTGCGTTAATCGTGAGTGGAAAAGCAGGAAGCCAATCCAGCTTCAATGTGCAGAGGAACCATCCACTTCAAATGCATTTGACCTTATCATGGAACCTCCTGGAAGAAATTAGAAAAACATGGTAGATGAAACAGCATAAGGTTTTTCAATATTATATTATGCATTCGACGTCCGAAGATTACTCTAGAGTCTAGACACAGAACTGAAAAGGACTGCAACACATCCACTGACTGAAGCTATTAACCAACTACTAACAATGCACCATGCAAAAATCACTAACCGACAACATTTTTTAAGAAGATAAATCAGAACACCAGTGTTCAACTCCTATAACAGAAGACATATAAAGCTTTATGTCTTTTAAGATTAAAAAGAAAAAAAAGTTAAAAAGGCAGTTACAGGTATGGTTCAAAAGAAGTCTCTAGATGCAAAATACGAATTTCTATACAAAAAAAGATGGTAAAAAATAATATTAAATTCAAGATAACACCACAAAAAAAAAAAAAAAAAAAAAAAACCATAAGGCTTACCTACATTACAGTTATGGAACACAGAAATTCAACCCAGTTACTTCAATAACTTATGTAAGACTTGTCAATTGTTTAAGTTCCATGGTGATAATGATTTTTGAAGCTTGAAAATTCAAAAATCTTCGTCAGCTTCCCAATTAATTTCATCATTGTCATCTTCTTCCCCATCAGATCCAGTGAAAAAAGCTTCATCCTCACTCTGAACATTCATACAAAAAACAAGATATTCTAATTACAAGAGAATGACTCCCTCTCCCCAGAAACAACTAAACTCAGTAATTGAAGAAGCGAGAATTAAACCCCAAGCTAACCTCACCCAGGCCCAAGACAAGGGTCAATATTCAAATCTTTTAAGTATCAACTAAAAGACAAACAGCAGAGAGAACAAACCATAATACTAACTTGGGTTAATTCTGAGACATGATTTAAGGGGCCATTTTCGTCTGATCTCCAATTTTTATTCTCATCCTCTCCTTCTTGAGAAAGACCCTGTGAATAAAAACAAAAGGTACTCTTGTTCAACTAATGTTGTTTTACAGGAGGCGCAAAAAAAATAAAAAAATAAAACGAAAAATAAAGAGTAACAATGGTGACAAAGGCTGCAAGACATGATATTAAATCACTTTTTATAACAAACAACAGAAGCATGTTAAACATCTTTCTTGAAGCATTGTGCATATTCAACTCGCCCTCCAAAGAGAGATGATTTTTGGCAGGGACAAAAGGACTGAATCCAAGTATAAGATGTCACCCAAAATGCAAAGGGAATGTAAATAAATAAGGACATTGAAGCTTTCCTGAAGTGGTGATCAACCTTTAAAGATGTAAGTGTCCCTGAAATGGCACACAATAAGAGGCCAAAAACACAATTCTCTTCCCCAGGCAATTGTTTTGATGGAGTCTTTAAACATTCTTGAATTCCCCTCCTCCTAACCTATTTTTACTGCTTTCTGCCAACCTGTCTTCTCTCATGTAAAACTTTTTACAGTTCATTCTTCCAAATGACCTCCCCCAAACAAATGCTACAATGAGTTGTGAAATTTGGAACCCCTTATTTAGACTTTCAGTAGGCAAAGGGGGAAGTAGCTAGATCTTCTTCTGATAAAATCTCCTTCCTATACAATGTGAGAATATGGAAACTACCAGCAATTCCCTTTTGGGGTGGGGTGGAGGCAAAGGGGGAAGTGGCTAGAACTTCTTCTGATAAAATCTCCTGCATATACAATGTGAATATGGAAACTACCGGCGATTCCCCTTTTGGTGGGGGGACACTCAATCCAATGTATGCACATGAAGCAGATGAAAACCAGAAAACAGATACGTACCATTTCTTTCATCATTTCTTCAATGTTCTTTTCCAGTTCAGATATGTGCTGGCTAAGAGCCTGCATGTTTCACATAGGGATACCAAGGACATCAATCATGGTTATAGATGACCACAATCATAAATATAATGGAAAAATAAAAGCAAGAGACTACAAGAGATGGAAACCTCATGTCTTTGCATGGCCACTGAATGCTTCAATGCTTTTGCCTTTGTTAGAAGGTTTCTTGGCCTTATACTGATGGGTCGGCGGTAATTCTTCCCACGATAGTAAATAAGAGCAAATCCTTTGGGAACTCTTTCTATTGCCACCAGTACCCCACCACTCTCATATTCCAACAATCTTGCTGTATCTTCCACAAATGCAAGAGTCTTTTGTTTGGATATTAGTTTCACAAGTTCTCTATGCTTCCAATGCAAATGCATATTCTCAATGACACCATCAAAAACACCACGAATACCTAGCATTTTAGCACAAACAAACCATCAGATTTTCAACTCTGAATTCAAAGTTCAGTCACTGAACTTAAGAGTACACACCTAGAGGCAAGTACGCCTTCATTCTTAAACCAACTCTGCGGAACATAACCCTTTCCTCCTCACTGATTGTTTCTTGGTCATAATCAGGACCAGAAGGAACCATTGAAGTTTCTATCTTGGATAACAGTCGCTCAGCTCTAAGCTTTTTGGCCTGGGCCTGTGAATTCAAAGTTTCATCCAAGTTATATATAGATATACACACACACATACACAATAGATAAAATAATGAGATTATTGTCCAATCACAGATAAAAACAATAAATTACGCTTTGAAGCTATGAGATGACCTCCTACTAGAATAAAAACCACCATAGTCCATCAAGCATGGAGGATGATGTTGATTTCGAGTATATATATATATATATATATATATATATATAAAAGCTGAAACTATTACTGATGTGGGAGATAGGCTTACGCTTCAGAATTTTGCACGAGCTATGCTCTCAAGTCTCAAACCTGCAACTTCTTGGCCTCAAGCCTAAGACTTTTTACAATTAATCTTAAAAAAGCTCTTCTAAGTAGTAGATTAACTATGCATTGATATGAAAATGTGTAATAACCAGAAGAGCTAAAAAATATCAAAGAAATTTCTGGGAGTTCAACATCATATACACTTACAGATGGTTCAGAATGAAACTTTTCTTGGATCAATAAGGTGAGCATGCAAGAAAATAAAAAAGGTCTCTAACTTATGAGGTTCAGCAAGAAGGCAATTTAGAAATCAGATTATAAGAAATAAGAAATCATACTTACAATAGATAACTTATGTTCAATTCGTTTGACAAGTCTCACAGCTTTAGCTTTGGAGGCTTCTTCAATTATTTTTTCACGCTCTTCAGTGGATATATCTCTTCCCCACCGTGCTTGAGCCTCATAAAACTCTGCCAATGTACCTGCAAGTGCCTTTCCTTCACCTTCACCTGATGGCACTGCCTCCATTGCTTTGCTTCGCACTCTCTCTTCAACATCTTGAATCTGTTTCGTCACTTCCTGTCTCTCTGCTAAAGCAGCAGCTACACTCTCTGGCAGAAAATCCTTTCCTCTGTATATGACAATGTAATACTTGTTTCTGAGCAATAACACACCACCTGTTAACATCTGCAAAAATTAATGAAAATTTAAGTTAGTTTGTATAAGTAATGTGTTTGGGGGGGAGGAGGTGGGTGGGTTGTGTGGGGTGGGGGAGAAGGTGGTTAAAGAGCATAAATGAGAAAGAAAAATGGTAAAATAATGACCCTCGAACTTTTCCATTAAAACAACAGCTGAGGCTACAATATTATTGACATACAAAAAAATAAATTCAATAAGCAAACAAATTCAACAATTCATAATTTATTGACCAGTTAGAAGTATGTAACAAACCTTTAGTTCATCTGCCATCAGTTTGTTATTTGTATTCTGGATGCCCCGTTTCACAGCAATCTTTGCAACTACGCTTTTCTCCCAAAGCTTGAGTATAGCGATTGCCAGCCCTTGATGATTTCTGTTTCTCCCTGCATAAAAAAAGTTTAGGACAAAATATGATGTAACAAATTGAAACTTTAAGATGAAGATTTTACAGATGGTGAGTAATACCTAGGGCAAAATGACAAGGAAGTGCTTTAGCAAGCTTTCGCATATTAGTCATCTCTGCATTAGTAAGCCGTGACCGCATTCCAGTCGGTAGGAGCCTAAAAGGAGTTTTGTAACCAGGAACTTTTGGAGGAAGCAAATCAGCATCAACTGGAAGTAATCCTGTACCCCACCACTCCTCAAAACGAGGGCCCAGACCATCTAGTAGGCTGTTAAATTCAGCTTCCTCTTCTGTCATGTTCTCGGAAGGTTCCATTCTCCTCATCACTGGTTCACTTTTTTCAGAAGTCGAAGTTGCATTATCACTGCCTCTCATTATCGCACCGTCAGCAGAAGAAACATCAGGGACAAAAAGAGCATCCCCTTCTCTATCAGCAGGTTGTAATTTAGATGGAGGCCCTTGATAGTTAGTTCCACGAAACACCACCATAACACTCCCTGCTCTCCATATAACTAATCCTCCTGTTCGACGCTGACCATCACTCCTACCAGTTAGTTGCATTCCAAAATCTTATCATTTATGTTAGACATACCAACCAGAAAATATGTTATGCTAAACATGTGAAGTAACAAGTAGTAAAAAGTCTCTGTAACTTGTTACATTATAAGATAGCTAGGCCAGACACCCTAACCAATTTAAAATTTTCCCAAAAAACCTTGGAAAGAGTTAACAACAAAATTTACCACCAAAGAATATCAAATTATATACAATGCCATCAAGCATAATTCTAACTATCATAAGCATGGCACTAAAACAAAGAAAATACAATCATTGACAACAGAAGTACAGAAGTAGAACACCAGTAAAAAGTTCAAATTAATTAAAATCAAACATTAAGCACCACATGAACAAGAAAGTTCCTCCAAGGTATCATAATATATTCCCCCAGAGAAAGGGAGACTACATATAACAATGCTAGAGGTGCTTAATATTACTAAATCATCAAATCGACCACGAAATCGCTAAACTATGGTGTTATTTATGGAATCAATAACACAACCTATATCAGGTTGCCATTGGATAGCAGAATAATTTTACTAACAGCATCTCTAGCATCATGATTTTAATTAATGCAGCAGATTGCTTCATGATTCCAAGTAGCCAAATAACAAAGCAAACTAATTAATGAGGCAAGAATTCAACCTCAACAATCTCATGAGCAGTCTTCATATCATGAGCAAGCACCTCGTGAAACTTAAGTCTAACCACCTCTTCTTTCCTCCACTTATCATGAATCTTCTCCAAAACCGCATTCGTAATCCCTGCTTTCGGAATACTGATCCTCTCCCTAATAAACATCCCCATTCTCCTCAACCTCCTCAATTCCTCATCTTCTATTGTCAATTCTGCCAAAGTCGGCGCCTTTAATCTCCTCTTCCTCTCCCTCTCTATCCCTCCTTCCATTTCCACTCCCTCCTTCTCTTCCCTCTCCCATGGCAACACCGATTCATCACTGTCACTACCCTCATCGTCACTAAAAACCATTGTATCCGGTCGGACCCACTCTCTTTTAACAAATCTCCTAATCTTTCCTCTCCCGTTAAAACGGCAGCATTGATATCACTCCCCTCCAATTCTTCCAATTCATCCGCATCATCTGATCCTAACCCTAAATTCCTTAACCGGAGTACAATTCTTTCAATGGCATTTTGTCCCTTATCTTTAGAAAAATACTGGGGCTTTTCTAGACCCTTGGATTGACTTACTTTCGATGGAGGGTTTTTGATTGAAGGGTTTTTGATAGGTTTCCATTTGGAGACCCAGTTAGGGTTTTTTTGTTGGGTTTTATGGATTTTGTTGGTTTTAAGTGAAGATGAAGTTGAAGCAGCGAAGGTTTTTTTGAGAGATTGAAATGTGGGGGTTTTAGAGAAGAGGGAATGAGAGCTTAGGGGGAGTGTGGAGGTGGTTCTGAGTGGCAATTCTGTTAATCTTGCAGTTGTGAAAGTCATTTTAGGATGCTTCTTCTGTGCTTTGACGTTTCATATGTTGTTCGACGAGGTTTTTATTTGGAAGGTGAGAAAGTTTGGAGGTTGAAGACACTCGTGCTTTTTCAGTTGGAGTTGGAGTTGGAGTTGGAGAGAAGGATGGATAAGATTTTTGTTTTGTTAGAAAACGGCAGCTAAGTCTTTTCCTTCGGGTGACATGGCATGGGCCTGGGAACTTGGTACGTTTTGGACAAGAACCATTGGGATGTCTTGGGCTTGAATCAGTTAAAGACTAGTTTGATATATTATCCAAAAGAAGAATACGTTGATGATGATGATGATCATCATCAAAATTAATACACCTTCTAATCAATAATGAAATTATTTTGCGGGTTTGTGGATTTTTTTTTAGCTTCTAATATTGTTACTAAATTAGTTATCTACTATATATTGTTGTTAGTTAATTACAGTTTTGAGTTTACACTGCTAGGGGAAGAAGAAGATGGTAGGAAGAGGAGTGGTAGAGGATGATGAAACATGAAGGCCTATTTCTTTATCGGCTACTCACGATCTGAGTTTAGAAGCATCACGTATAGAATTATCGAGTTGGAGTTCCCTAAACAGATAGTAGAGTGTAATTAATTATGTGTAGCCAGTAAACATCATATGCTAAAATGGGAACATGGTTCATCAAAATCCAGAAGATCGTCTGCTCGAGAATGATGATGAGCTCATAATTTCCTGGCCAAGCTCCTTTATCTTGTTAAGTAGAAGCTTTTGCTCAGTCTCAAGCTGTAACATGAACTCTTCTTGCATGTCCTCTAGGCTTTGCATCTCGCTCAAAGCTGTCCAGAGTCCCTCCAGGTTGCCATCCTCAATCAAAGATTGAAACTTGATCATCAATTGTTTCATCTGATCATGTTAAGCCATCCAAAGAAACAACTTCAGACTTGAAAGCATTTGTTATTCATGAAAGACATAATAATCAGATAAGATTTCATGATGAATCCCACTAAAAAGTGTAAAATGTATGGACTGAAACAAATTCAAAAGATAATCAGATGGCATCTCTAAACATTGGTCAATAGCTTAAAGGAATCCGGAAGAACGCCAAATTACTAGCCTATCTAGTAAAAGCTTGGAGGTGTTGTAAAGAAATTTTTACAAGCTTTTAATCAAAATTTGGGATTTGCATGTGCTTGGAATTTCTTGAGCTTGAATTTTTCGAATCATAATGATTATTAGAGAGAAATATGCTCACTTTTCTGTCCAAACAGAAATTTGTACCATATAAACGATTTAGAAGAGCTACAAATAGACCCTAAATATTTGAGAGAAAAGCAGATCATATGCTTCACACAAGTCCTGCAGACTTCAAAACTTAAAACTAGAATTTCATGTCAATGCTTAACAAAAAATATATTATTACCTCATGATAAAGGAATGGAAATTAAATGAAAATGAGTAACGCATTCCAACCTGGTCAGAAATTTCGTGTGATTTGGTTAAAGATGCATCTGCCTCCAAACTGCTTCTTGTTTGTAGTTCTGGAACTTTCCTGCATATCTGAACGTGGATCTCTCCCTTTTTTACTCCTTGCAGAGGTATCCACTTGTCAGACATCTGGTTTGGAGGCAATCCCTGATACTCTACAACACAATCACCTATACTAGAGGTTGGAAGCAAGGCATTATGGTCTTTCACATGCAACTCTAAGGGACTGCCGTCATCTGGGAACTCAAAGGTCTGATTCCAACGAGGATTCAGAGTTTTGAACATAACCTGAAAGACAAGACAAGGGACAGTAGCTAAGTGATTGTAGTGTTGTAACATCCGATAGAAGCGACAGGAAGGCATAATCCAGACCACATACCTTGGTTCTCCTCTTCAAGCTTCCATATTGCACCCTCACATATGGATCACTTGTCCCTCGAAGATCAGCAGCAATAAGATCTTTTGCTTCAACAAGAACAAGTTCAATCCAACCATTGAATGAAGCTGAGGTTGAATCCTAAGTATATTCAAGGAAGAAGAAAACAATATATCAGTAGCCATCAGAAGTTCAGACAGCTGACAACAAGCTGTTCAAAATGGCATGGTAATACTACTGCTTGTTTGAGTAGTATATTCAAGCTGGGTATGAACAAATCTAAACTTCAAAGTCTTATTTATATTAGCGCAGCAAGCAGGCCACCCTAATATGTTTTACATGTCTACATGTCAACATACCTGCACATGTCCACACAAAATATGCTTTGCATCTTTCAAACATTATTATGGTCGGTGACTGCCATAATTGTCAATGCCGTGAAAATGGCTTTTTGATTTTCAAAAGGCATTTTAGTAAACTACAGGAAACACAATATAGCCCCCTTAAATCTAATAAAATTGTACCCGTGATCCTGATCCTTCAAAGTCATTGACTCTCACAGCTTCTATTTCAAGCCTTAATTCTCCTGAATTCACTTTTTCAAGGGGAACCCATATGTCCCTGATAGATCCCTCCAGCAAACCTTCCAAATTTACTCGTGCACTACCGATGCTGTCGTCTCCAAAGGTTTCTTCGCTATAGCATTTAATCTTAAGGCATCTGTCATCAACTATCTCATCAAATTCCAACTTCTGATTCCAGAGAGGATTAGAGGTGTGCGCAGTCCGTGTTTTCTGTAGGACCTGAAAAGATAGGTTTGAAGCATGACCGAATCAAACATAAATACTCTCAGGAAGCAGTTAAGTAGTTTCACATGCATGATATCTTAATATCTTCCGATTTTTAACTTCAGATTCATATACATCATTTATGAAGGAAATGATATCCTACCTTTCCATACTGCAGTTTAACATATGGGTCACACTTTCCAGATCTTTCTTTTGAAATAAGATCTTTTCCCTCCATGACAGACACATTAATCTTCCTTCCTGTTCTTGAAAGTAGATTTGATGATCCATACATTGATTTCTGAGAGCTAACGTTGAACTTATTCAAGCTATGAGAACCATCGGAGAACTGCCATTCTTTCACCACAAGCTTGACTGTCAACTGCCACATGCATATAAACAAGAGAAATGGCTTAGTTATCAGCATTGGATCCTCTTGAGAGACAAGTTAGATGAGCTACTTAGAATCAATGCTTATAAAACAAAATGAAAGTTTAAAAACAACTGAATGTTATCAAATAGTCATCAGTTGAAACCAACACTTGGTCTAAGCTTGTGCGGGTACAAAGTGGCATCACAATTTAGTCAAGAACTCCATCAAAAGGCAATAAAATCAAACCCCATTTGATTTATCTGGGATTCAAACTAGTAACTACAGCATATTACCAAAAAGATAATAATAACACAGCAAGAAATAATGAAATTTTACAACTGATGCAACAAAAGATGGTCCACTGCTTATCCAGACTTTAATATCCCATCATAACTAGCTTCTGTTATGCGCAACACGAGAAATATATTGATATAACACAGCAACTCAAAAACAAAGTAACTAATCACAAAGAAATTTTGCATGTTTTACCTCTCCTGAAGTAACTCCCTCAAATGGAACAACCATTTCAACTTCACTTCCACAAAACTCAGCATGTTTAGCTACTATCCCAGACCCAGGTCCTATTGCCCAAAATGTTGTTGAATCATCTGCAACATACTTCATCTGCTTGAACAGACAGGAAAAAAGATGATAAATTACACCACGAAATTTTCCTGAAGCCAGGGATGTCTAGATGAACAAATTTCAGGAAATATAGGTTAATAGCACACATTCTTGTTGAATCCATGAATTTAGGGCCAGGTTTGCTTCCAAAATTCAGCTCTGCTTTCTTTTCCATTTTTGAGATATAGACAATGCTTGAAAAAATGATATAATAAGTTTGCTTACTCCTTTTTTAGGGAAATGAAATAGAGACCTGGCTACCATGGCAACACATTTTAACATTGCAGTCTTTTGACTTCGTGCATTACAACATGAATAATTTAGTTTACAAACTTACACAGTATGTTAGTAAAAAATCAATGAGAGACAGATCAAACCAATTAATTGAAGGATAATGGTAATTTCATAAAAAAAATAATAATAATAACAAAGATATTTTATGGTTCTTATAAGCTCATAAGTACTTTTGCATTGAAATTATTAATAATAATAATAAAAAAAACACAGAAAGTTGCAGAAAAAATTATGTGATAATACACCATAGGATGCTTATGATGGTTTAAGTAATTAAGGAATCAAAAACCTCCCCTCATTTGAAACTATCAACCTCATACAACAATAACCAAAAATAATTACTTGCCCTAGCCCCAACTTTTGGCTAATGTGTAAAACATGTGACAAAAGACTTAACACACACAATAAGTAAACCCAATGAATGGGGCCTATTGCTCTATAATTTTACACAAAATAAGAATCAGTATGTACCTTGATCTCACAACTTGCTAGATAATCATACTTCATACTGTTGGGTGGACAGTTGTAAAGATGTAATCGAAGAGTTCCTGTTTCTTCATGTAAGACCATGTTAAATGTTGAATCCCACCTAGGGCTTGAGCCCGGTCTCACATCTGTTCTCCTTGTTAACTGTCCAAGTTCGACCTCCACAAATGTTTGCAGATCTTTATCATCAAAATGATCTATCAGGTTACTTTTAGAAAGCTTGCTAGCTGAGATGACAGACACATATACAATTCCACCAACAGCCTTTTTCCTCAAATCTACTGCTGGTAAACTGTAACAACGACGGCGAGGCTCAACCATTGTCTTCACTAAGGTGTCAGTAAAAACCTTAACCTGAAATTTTAAAGAAAAAGAAGAATAAACGCATATAAGACCAACAGCACTAGAGGAACTAGAAATTTAAGGAAGTACAGCAAGGTACACCATTATGAACTAAATATCATACATGTCGTAATTTAGCTACAAAAGAAACATGATAAATTCTAAATAACTATGTCAAGAGGCTAGAATAGAGGCAGAAAAATTCCAAATAATAGTAATAATAATGAAAGCAGAAACAATCTAAATTTACTACCCATACATGTGAATATAATTAGGTAAAAAAACAAACACACACCAGCCAAGAAGAGACGCCTGGCAGCTCTGTGGCAGGTAGTGACTGGCTTCCTCCACTTCCGAAGGCAACTCCTATTCTTACTTCAGGAGTTGACACAAATGAGTACAAAACTGCTCTCCCATCCAGAATTGGCATCAAGAGAAGCTGTTAAAAAAAATAGATGAGTGATTAAATAGCAACCTCAAAAGGCAAAAACTGATGCAGTTGATAGCCAAAGAAAATCTGAAATCTAGGAAAAGCTCGACTAAGAAACAAGAATTTAAATGCACAAAATAAATTCACAGTTACAGTGAAAATAATAAAAAACATTACAAAAAAGTATTCCATGCTTGTAGATCTCCCAAGTACAGAACCTAGATCCTTTCCTTGAGTAGCTACACATTGAAAAAAGTATAGAAAAATGGGGAAGTTCGTGTAAGAGATACTTGATGGTTCTCTCTTACAGTCATTTTCTGGTGTCTATATCCATGAGGAACATATAGAATCAAGCTATTAGCCATACATTTTGATCAATCAGCCAGTGCCAAAATTATTTAGAGTTCAGAAAACAAAGATGATTTTACATACCTCACCCTTGATGTGGAGGCTGTTTATAACAATCCGAGCAGTACCCATTAATGGCTTTGCCAGCTTAGCCAGCAACAAAATGCTCATGTCGCTGGTGTCCCATTCAAAATCCAAATGCATAATTCGCTGTCGGAATGCATAAAAATTGCTACATGAAAATCTGAGACAAATTTACTGTTTTTAGTGGGAAAAAGCATCATGCTAAAAAAAATCCCTGAAACAATTTGGTATGTACTCGGTCTGCATTATCTATATGCTATGCTTCAAATTTTCTCTTTCTTTCTTCATGAAACACCACACATTTCGACAGAACATGCTCAGTCATTCTTCTAAGAATTAATTTTTTTAAGGTTGGCAGTAGGTCCATCACCCACCTTAGTTACATCAGGCTCAGTCACCTCAAGCACCAGTTCTCACTTCTCGTCATTCAGTGCCTAGCATAATCACTAACTCATACTGCCATAACAAAGTGGAATGGAAGGCAGATCAAAATGTTATGCCTGTTGAATCACAGGCTCCAATGAGATACCTTTTGGTCATATCTCCCGAGCAACTGCCATGCCTATACTTGCACCAGCGAGTACTGAAGCAGAGGCAACTGAATGTTCTTTACAAATTCACACCAAAACGGTTTCAGGATGCAATCAATTTCATAATTTGGTTGCTCTTTGTTTGTTAAGGATCCTTTGAGGTAATTTTTGTTGGTTTGAACTAGCATGAGTTGCATAGTAACAAGTCTAGTTGGAACGTATTGATGAGCTTGTGTAGTGAACAACTCACTTCAACTCATGAAAGCCTCAATATCAAACTTATTAAGATAAACTAGATTGACTCTCTCCACACGAATCAAGGACCAAACTTGTGTAAACTGCTGAAATACCAAGTCATTCTTTGCTGTGAACTTTAATATTTCTTGATGGAACTTTCTTTCTATTCCACATGTTTAGTAAAGTCAATGCCAAAATACACGCTGCTAATTACTGAAACACAAATCATTACCATCATGAGCAATTTACACACTACAATTGTCTTTTGCACTAAATGAATACAGGATCCACCTAATAGATCAGTAAATTTCAAAAGGCACAGAAACATAAGTTTGCATGTAAGACAATAAACAGAAAAAACATTGGCAGACCTTGTTGATTAACATTTCATTGTAAGGTAATATAAGCAAACATTGGTTTATTTATATGTAGATACCTTCTGAGCTGTACTAAGGGATAAAATGACCAAAAAAAAAAAAAAAAAAGGCAGAAAGTGAAAATGGAACCAAACCTGATCACCTGAAGTTGACCAGTGAGTCCCATGAAGACCCAGGGATGGTGGGCATGAACCAAGTGAAAATTCCTGCAACTCAATTTTTTCCTACAAGAAGGGTAATATTTTTTTCAAGAAACATGTACAGTAAGGCTAACCTTGACTTGAATATTCATGGAAATTAATAAAATAAGCATATCACTTACTATGAGCTTCGAGCTACGCTGTTTTAAACGTTTCTGCAAAGAAAAATGTTGAACTTTTTAGTTTTAAAGAAAAATGTTTGATCTCACAAACAACCACAAATACACACAAGTGTGTGCATGAGTGCACCTTCATATACGGAAAAGAAAGTTCATTTAGATAAAAACAAATTGCAAACATTATCATAAGGTAGAAACAATGCCAAGTTCTTGACACCCTTTCTAGTAGTAAAGAAATGGAAGTGTGAGACCAAATCAATCAACCACCATTGTTCAAAGGATTATGTATTCTTATGATCGATTCCCAGAAATTATGACAAAGTGAGAATGATTCAGAGTTCTAGAGCCCCTTTTTTCAGTAGTAAGGAAACAAGAGTGTGATGGAAAATCACTTTAATTACAATTCCATTTTCCTAGATGATTTTCTTGTGGTACAAGAAAACCACTGTACTACTGTAGCTCTGTCAATCACAAAAACCCATGACCATGAGGAGCAGACATCCGGAATGTGCGTTTTCTTTTAGATTTTAAACAACAAGTTCATAAAGAAATTTAGAAGGCATAAATATACACATAGCCAGCGGACTTCATCCTAGGAGTATTTGACTGCAACTTGAACTCAGTTAAACACAATATGTCTATATCACTCTATCAGAAGAAACTGAAAAGTAACTAAATTTGTTATGAATTCAGTTCTCTTACAAGCATATCTCATTCTAAAATTCAGAAATATAGTATCATGGATTCCTAGCCAGATGCAAGAAATAAATTTTCTATCCATTTCAGAAAAATGTTCAGAGTTGAGACACAAATAAACAAATAAACCTTGGCAGAGGATAGAGAAAATTTTCTATAATGGATTATATGACGTAAGCCAATTAAACACCATCCAAAAATCCTGACCTCAACAATGGATGAGAATCTTGTTGCAAGCTTTGGGTTCATATAGTTCATCCAAATTTCCATCAACAGCTTGTTCAGCCACTCACAGTGTTCCAATGGTGTTGTTGGCTGTGCAAATATTTTGAGAGATTATTAGATTAATGAACTTAATAAACATGAAATTTTGGTTAGTCATAACAGAAAACAAAGAAAGAAGAGATACCGAGGTGTTCACTACAACTCGCTTCCACTTTTGTTTAGGTCTTCCACAAGAACTTTCTGTTGATGACTGCAATACTACAGAGGGAAAACAAAGTAATTTCATTTTACCACATTTCAAATGCAGAGCTGAAACAACAAGGGGAAAAAGTAATTTCATTTTACCACATTTCACATGCAGAGCTGAAACAACAAGGGGTACCTAACTCTGCAATGACAACCCATATTTATCTAAAATCTGATCTAAGTAATCTTTTTAATGAAGGAACCACTGCTAGAATCAAAGTCTAACTGAAAAAAGGAAAGGCTAGTCAATCGTAAACAGTGAGAACAACATTTGTGGCAAAGGACAGAAAATACAGGGAAGAGGAAACCACTATAATCACATTGCGCAAAACCCATATGCAAACAATTCTTTACACTGGGAACAAAGGGACAAGTCTCTGCACCTTTTTAGAAATTTCAAACTGTACTTGCATTTAACGATGTTTAACTACGTAAAGTTATCCTTCTCTAGTAAATCAAACATAAATGGAGCACCTTTTTGGAAAATAAATAAATAAGAGATTCATACCACCTAAAGAATTCAAATTTTCAAACAAAATATCACTAATTTAATATTTTAGATCCCATGCTATCAAACTTTTCTATAACAAATGACAGTAAATCTAAATAAAAAGAACATCATAATTAGACAATAACTGCATCACCATCCGAAACAAATGATTAAGATAAATAATCAAGTTAAGAAGGGAAAAAAATTCAAGGACTTGCCTGAAAAGTAGCCCAGATAGCAACGACAAGAGGAACCCAATTGGAGAAAGAGAAAACCCATTTCTCAATACCCCAACAAATCAAAATCAAAGGGATTAAGAAAGCAATAGAAGGCTTCTCCTCCAATAGATAATTAAAGAACTCCAAAACCTCTTCAACTTTGAAACCAGCTTTACCCTTTCTTCTTCCCATTTCTTTCTTTCTTTTTTTTTTTTTAAGTCAACAACCACTAATAAGTAAATCCAAAACCTACAACTTAGCTTTCCTCATATATATATATCCTCATATATCATGATCCACTGTTGACTGCATTTACTATGTACAGTAGTAGCCCATGAAACAATAGGCTAAGAATTTCCCGGGAAAAGATTTTCCTGGAAAGTGCGAGAGAATTGTTACCTAGGAAGCACTTAAAAGGAAATTTCAAAAGGTTCAATGGGGACTTGAAGGGGTAGAAGCTTAGCTTCCATACGGGAGAGAGAGACATGAAAAGTCCACAAGTCAGCAAGAAGAATAAGAAAAGGCATCAGTTTTTAATTCTATTTAAGTTGAAGACGAAAGTTTGGCATATAAGTTAAAAAACGGTTTTGCTTTGTCCGAATAACTACCAATCCTCTGATAGTATACTTTTTCTTTTTTCCCAAAAAAAAAAAGGGTTTTTTAAGCATTGAAGTTTTCCTTTTCAATTAATGTGGCTTCCTATTATGGTTCAGTTCTATAGTGGTCGGACCCATCACCCAAAACCATTACCGTCACGTTGTTATAGTTTTCTTTTTTGTAATCAAAATTTTACTAGTGGCGAAGTTCTGTCTTTTCTTTAATGTCATTAATGGATTGACTTAGTTCTAAAAAAACCCAAAAACCACTGAATTTGATAAGGGTGAAATCTAGTGGTCCGAAATTGATGTGATGGATAATATGTAGGACCCAGCTAAGTTTGTAGATAGGGACCACATCCTTTTGTCTTGTCCGAAAATGGTTGGTAACATAACCAACATCAAGTTACATTCCTACTTCACTGGCTGCTTGTCCAACTCTTGATATATGGCCGTACAGTCTGAAACTTGAATTGAGGTCAGTGTCTAAAATTTTGATAACAAAATGTTGGTTTTGTTTTGCAGAGGATTTGGTTTTCACAGAGAATGAGGTGTTGAATAGTTATGTACCCATGTTGAGTTAATTATGTTTCTCCTAAATTTTGCTACTAAAATTTATGATCTTAAATTAAATAATTCAGAATAAAATGATTCTAACTAATAGTCAAAATAGACCAATTTGAGCATTTCAAAAAAAGAAAAGGAAAAAAAGAGAAGAATTTCTGAAACAGTGTAGTCTAATCCAACACAAAAGCAAAGAAGAAAAAGAAAATTGAATTATTTTCCACCTGAAATCTCAACATCAACTCGCTAGCTAGAACTCTTTTTATCTATTTCCTTTGCTCTTCAAACCACTATTACTTTCTTCGTATGAAACCATAGGTAAGGGAGTTTTTCTTTTGCCTACATAAAGAAACGCTACAATTAGATGAACACAGGTAAAAGAGTTTTTCTTTTTTTAGATAAAAGTATTTTCAAATCAACTTTCAAGTATTAAAAATAAATCATTCATGCAATCTATATTCATATTTTTCTTAATATTTTATTAAAAAATATAAGAAATAAAAATAATCAAGCTTATGTCGGCAACATGCAGAGATAATTATAAAAAATACTCCTTGGAACAATTTTTTTTTAGAAATATTTTTTCATAAAAATTTATTATTATTATTTGTCTATGTTAATGAAAGCTACTTGAAAACAAATGTTTAGTGTTTGATATGTATTAAAATTAGGTGTTAAAAATCCTCATATTAATAGTTTTGTTTTTTGCTCTTTGTGTGTTATGTTACTTAATCATACTAATCTTATTGTTCAATTTTAGATTATATATATAGTGGGGTATCATTAAATCATTTTTTGCATTAATTGAGATAAGTTCATCGTTTTTAAGGCTAAGTCAGTACTCGTAACATGCTTAGTTTTTAGTCCACTCGTTAGGTTTCCTCCTAGACCAAATGAGTCCAATGTCGGTACGACTAAAAAATATTTATGACTAGTTATTCATGGGTAGTAAAAATTAAACCTTAATCTTGATCAAATCAAGACAACCTAGTTATGTTTATAAGTTGCAAGTTATGATAATGTTGGAAATATTGGTTTTGGTAGATGATAAGTGTGATAAAAAGAGTTTGAAAGTTCTTATTTTCAAGTGGGATGTTAATTTCACATTGAAAAAAAATAAAAAGGTTTCAATCCAACAGATCATGATTGCTATGAAAAAGTTATAGTCCAACAATCATGATTGTTATGAAATGATTCTAATCCAATAATCATGATTGTTGTGAAAAGATTTTAGTTCAAGAGTCATATTTGTTATAAAGAAATTCTAGTAAATTATAAATAAAGGAGTACCGCACGAGGCAATATACATTATTATTTTTTCTTCGCAATCCTATTCTCAAAATTCTTCTTTTTTCTAACACTTTATAACTTTAAGAGAAATTCTCTAAAATAAGTTTCAAGAGTGTTGCATGCAATTCTTTGTGTGCAAAAATTGAATACTAGAAGTAAATTATCAAAATTCTTGTAGCATTATAGTGGAGGCAATAATCACCTTAAAGATGTGTGAGGAGATTTTTACATGTAATTAAGTACTAAATTTTCTATTTTCTATTTTCTTCATCTTCAATGTCGTAATTGTTATTTTCTTTTCAACAATCTTTAGGTGATCATTTTTAAAAGATGGAAGCAATGATAAAAAGTTCATTTCAAGTGGTGGATCAAAATGTGATGAAACTAGATCGGCTTGATGAAACAAATTTCAATCAATGGAAAGACAAAGAGATGTTTATGCTTACCGAAAAGAAAGCCGCTTACATGTTAGACCTAAATTTGGCAAATCTCCCGAACCAAATGATGATAATTCCGAATAACTTAAGGCCGAACAAAAAAAATGTATTGATGATGAAGCATTGTGTAGAGGCCACATTATCATATCGATTATACGATCTCTTCACTATTGTTCAATCTCTCGAAAGAAATTAGGAAAGCGCTAGAATTTTAATAAAATGCTAGAAAACAAGGGGCATATAAATTTCTCATTATGAAATTTTTTAAATTTAAAATTATTGATAATTTATCGGTCATGGATCAAGTCATGACTTTATGGATCAAGTCATGACTTGTCTATTATAGTATCGAAACCGAAAGAGTTTAAAGTTTAGATTTTTGAATCACTGCAAGTAAGGGTCATAATTGCAAAATTACCTCCTTAGTTGGAATGATTACAAAAAGAAGATGTTTCATACCATCGAAGATTTTGCTTTAGAAATGCTTGAAAAACCATCTCGGGATCGAGAAGGATACTCGAAATTTGCAAAAAAAAAAAAAAAAGGAATGTTAAAATTGTTTCCAAAGTGAATTATATGGATGAAAAGAAGTTAAATTCACAAAGAAAGAAATATTATGGAAAGAGTAGTTCTAGAGGAAAGAAAAGAAAATTACAAGAATTTTTTGGCTCTAATGCAACAAAAACATAAGACCGAGTAAGTCTTATTATCATTACGGAAAGAAAGGCCATTTCAAGCATGATTGTCGATACAGGAAAAGGCAAAGAATAGTGAATGACAATGCTCTAAATATGGTTACGAATGAAAATGTAGTGGTTGTAATGATTTTTGACTTGTATATTGGCATGATCATAGAATTGAACATGATTGTTGCAACAAAGATCTTTAATTGATGGTTTGAATTTGGTGCTACCATCTATGTGTGCAATGACAAGACTCAATTCAAGATCTTAAAAAAGGTAACTCGAAAGATATAAAGTGATGATGGGAAATAATAACACAGAGAAACATTCTTGGCAAAGACACTCGTTGAAATATCCTTTACTTTTGGAAAGAAGTTAATGCTAGTCAATGTTCTATTTGTTCTTGAGATTAGGAAGAATCTTGTATCTCGCAAATCTATTATGTAAGAAGGGAATTAAGGTTGTTTTAAAGTCCGACAAAGTTGTATTCTCTAGAAATGGTGCTTTTATTGGCAAATAGTACTCTTATGATAACATGTTCAAACTTAATATTATTAATAAAATGAATAATTGTGCTTATATTGTTGGATTTTCATCTTTTCATTTATGGCATAATATATTAGCATATATTAATTTTGGTTATATTAAATATATGTCAACACATGGTTTGATCTTTTGCAATGATACTAGCAATAAAAAGTGTGAAATTTGTATACAAAAAAAATGACTAATAAGTCTTTTCCTTCAGTTGAAAAATCTCTTAAATTATTAGAATTTATTCATTCTAATATATATAAATTTAATGGAATTTTAACTAGAGGAAGAAATAGGTATTTTATCACTTTTATTGATGATCATTCTAGATATACTTATGTGTATTTAATGAAAACTAAAGATTAAGCCTTTGACATGTTTATGTGCTATAAATTTAAAGTTGAAAATAAAAAAGAAAAGAAGATTAAAGTTTTAAGAAGTAACAAGGGTGGTGAATACTTTCATACTGATTTTTCTTTTTTCTATAAGGCTAATGGCATTATATACAAAATGAATGCACCATATACCCCACAACAAAACGGCTTGGCTAAAAGAAAAAATAGAATACTAGTTGATATGGTGAATGCTAAATTACCTAATAATTTATTAGGTGAATCATTATTAATCGCATGTCATGTGCATAATAGATACCTTTTAAGAAATTTAAAGTCTCTCCATATGAATTGGAAAAGAACAAAACCAAATCTAAGTTACCTTATAGTTTAGGGTTGTTTAGCCTTTTAGTCATAGATCTTAAACGAACCAAGTTAGGACCAAGAGCTCTAAAAGTGTGTTTATGGAATATGCTCAACATTCCAAGGCATATAGATTATTGGATTTAGAATCAAACATGATAGTGGAATCAAGGGATGTTGAATTTATTGAACATAAATTCACCAATGATTCTAATACTACCACATAAGCACATAAATAAGATTATCCAAGTTCATCATCTAGTGACAAAAAAAAAAAAAAAAAAAAATCTTTTGATACCCTAGTGAACCTAGGAGAAGTTAAAGAACTAGAAAAGAAAAAAAAGAAATTTAATTCAAATTTTATTAATTCGTAGTCTATTGTCTTCCTAATTG